TTTTTACCGTTTTACAAGTTCAGTCCTAGATTGCATTTTTTGGGCAGATTTCAAAACCAAGGAGAAATATTTCGTGACTTTGAAGGTCTGTTATCTTTGGTTGTTTTTGAATCAACGAGCTATGGTTTTCTGTAGCAGATGCAGTGTTAAACGTGAAAAAAATGAAAACAAATTGCTGCCATGCCGAAAAGTTTTTTGTAACGTAGGCAATGCGATGGCAAATTAATCTAGCTTCTTTAGTTAAAACCTCCAAGATCTGTAAATGTTCACTTCAACTTTTTTTTACAATGTTCACAGCGTCTTTTATTACGAAAGATTTTATGCTTGCATTTCTAGTCTCGGCTACTGTTTTCTACACAAAGCTCGTTGTTTCGTTGTTGTTATTTTATTCCACAATTTCACAGGCCACCCTGCAGTATGCTGTTTAGACAGTATAAGGAGAACAGGGTCCTTTGCCAACAAAAATAAACTAGTAAAAGTGAAGCAGAGAGATGTTTTGAAAATTAACATATCTGAGGCACTAAGATCAAAAGACTTAACCGATGAAGTGAGATTTTTATGAGCAGAAAGTTTGCTTGCTTTGCTGACTTAGGGAAGAACTGAATGAGTTCGGTAGTTCCCATGCACACTATAACGGGCCATCGAAAACATATGTATATATTCGATAAGCTGCCGAGGAAAGTCGAGTGATATAAATTTTTTCAATATTGAAAAGTCTATAATTTTGGAACAGAGGAGGCTTTGCTGGTTGCCACCCCTCGAAAGCGTGAGGATACGAATGAAGTTTACTTTTTGATCATTTTCATAATTTTGAAGTACCGCCATAGTTTTTAATGCTACGGAGAAAATGTCAGATCAAGCGAGGCCTTCAATAAAGAAAAGAGGCTCTGAGAAAAAGAAGAATCGGTCGCTGGGACAATATGTTTATTCGCCTGACGTTTCGACAGCCGTCGCGAATGTCGAAACGTCAGGCGACTAAACATATTGTCCCAGCGATCGAGTCTTCTTCTTCTCAATTGCTTCCTGGGACACGCGTGTTCGCTTGTATTGACAAAAGAGGCTCTCTTTGTATTTACAGTTTGCCTTTGAAGATGGCTGACTTCATGCAGGTCAAGCTTGCGAACACTATGCGTAGAGACAGTATGCTTAATACGTGAATGCAATGCATTGCAACTGTTCGAGCAGTGTTAGTCTTTTTGTTCACCAATATTGGAGTATGAAATCGTAGACAGATCATTTTAGACATCTGGCCATGATGTTTATGAGGCACGTACCTGACGTTTGCCTTTTACGGACCAACACACCAAAGGAACCACGTTCGTACACAAGAGAGGCTCGGTTTCACCAGACGGCCCGATACATTCCGGTCCTTTGAAGAAACCTGACGTGGTTTGACCTTTTGCATATCTTAAAGTACAACCTGCATCCCACAGTAAATACTTTCGTCTTGGTCCACAGTACATAAGGCCATTCCGGTACCAAACCGAAGCCAGTTAAAAGATAGTTACACAACTGCGAACAATCTTATAAAAAGTTTACTACGGTGTAGGGCTCTTTGCCCAGTGTAAAAGGCGTATACTGGGCGTCTATAAAATTTGGAAAACTAGAGCAATCCAACAACTATCATTTAGTCAATTAAACAGACTGCGGCTATCTTTTAATGCTAAGTAAGAATGTAAAATTCAATCATTTGAGGTGCGTGAACTGCTAGATTTTTCATGAATGCGATAGGTTTCAAAATTCCAATATAACATAGTCTCCACCCCAGTTTACTGTTCAAATATGGCAAATATCAATCCGATCTGAATGGAAAAAAAGTTTTAAGAGTTACTTTGAGCCTACAGTCTACGAAAAATAACGTTAAAGATAATTTTCGTGCAATGTTGAAGTTAGTCCTACGAGGTTAAATGAGCGCCAACCGTGTTCCTTGCGTGAAATATTATTAGTGGCAAAAAATCTGACCATCAAGTACATTGTACCCCTTACGTGTAAAAGCCGCTATGTAATAGAGTCTTTTGCATCAAAACTTCTTTCAGTACGCCACAAATTGCCCCCGGGATCGCGAAACATTTCACGTAGTGCAAAAAATAAATTACCGCTACCACTAGTCACCAGTTACGGAATTCTGGGGATTTTAGTTTTCGTGGTAAGCCCTATAATAGACTGTTATCCAACTATAAACCAGCGAAACATCCTCTTAGACTCAGGATCAAATCCATATCTATAATTTACGTGGGTGTTACTCGTTGATAATCTACCTATCACTGGCGTTTTGATCCCCGTTAAAATTTACCTCAATCCAGAAAGTCTTAAGCAGAGGTTACCTAAAGAACACTTCTCAATATACGAACGAGTGCAAAGATACCTATAAACATATGGTACTAAGGACTCGTTCTGAAAATCAGTTACTGAATACGATTGAAGCTCAACCTACGAATACCTTCATCTTCATTTGTTTCTCCAATCAGAGCCAAGAATTTTAGAATTCAGTGGAAGAGGAAGAAAAAAAACTGTTTGAAAACAGACGAAAAAAAGCACTTGTCTGTCGACCGAACAACTATTTACAGCTTATATCATGGGTAGCACAGCCCTCCACCGAGAAATTTCTATAATAGAAAAGTGACCCTCTCTGACAAGCTATAATGCACCGCTATAAATGGCATCTGAAATAAACGAAAGCACCCTTGATTGGATACGATACATTCAACATTCCTCAGTTATTTTAAAAATTATAGTTATTTCGCTGTGCTGGCTTGTTTACCACCAGCCCTAAAAGGATTGGCGTCACACCAAACTGAGTAAAAGTTCCTCTCACTCCGCGTAGAGTGTTTACTTCGTTGGCAGATAATTATCTTTCCATCAGTCTTGCCGATGCAGTAAGATCACGAGAAGATGCTTCCTGAGCGCATGTTTTTTTCTTAGTAGGGCATACCGACGTAAACTCTAGTAAATATCTCTTGGTTAAAGGAGGGTTTCGTCTCCCACCTTTCCTGGTAGTAGTGAAGATATTTTGGCGGAATAGTAGGCCGACACGAATTCATGAAAACTGCTCTACTTTGTTTTGCCTTTTCAGGTCTTTCCTTTGCTCACGGGCATCGGCATATTTCTTTTAAATGGCATCTTCCAGATATGACAAAACTCCCTGGATTGTCGGGAGTTTTCTTGAGGAACCCTGGTAAGCCTACCATCACGACATTTTGAAACAACTGTTTGGGCCGAAAAGGGACCCGTTTAACATTAAATGAGGCCTGATTCGAGTCAATTCTCAAATCTGTCAATAGGGTAGTACGACGAGTGTGTAGACAGTTTAATTTTATCGAAATCTACCGAAACATAGATTCATAACTGTGACTGTCTTTGAGGATTGGTTCGAGTGAAAATTCAAGACATCAGGCCAATTAAGCTTAGTCCAGCAATCGAAGCTTCTTTTTATTAAATTCATAACTGTCTACGTACGCGAAAACGTCCCTGGAAGTTAGTCTGTTGCAAGCCAGATAACGTTTAATCTTGTCGATTCGATTCTCATGACACAATACTAACTGGCCACTGTAAAGCTTCGGAGATATTTTCTAATTTGACACCGTTTCCATGACCTCATCAAACAGAACTTGTTTATTTTCGACACCAATTTCGTTCGCCTGACCCCCAGATATCGATGGAAGATGTGATTTGCGTGTGTCATTTATGACATTTATGTTTTTGGAAAGTTCAATGTTTGCGCTCCTCATAACCTGTCAAGTGATGGACATCCGAAGACTGCGTTTTGCTGCCTGCAGACCTCGTCAAAACACGCAAAATAGCCATTAGAATGACAGATGTGCACACTGGTCTCCTCTTTCCCAGCAGCTAAATTCATTTTACGATTTCAAATAGCACAATCCTGTCAAATTATAAGGGCACACGCGAGCTGGGCCGAGACGTCAACCTATAAAATGAGCTAGACTTTCAACACTAAAGGCCATTTTGACTAACTAGCAAAAGCGAAAATTTTAAGTAATATAGTAAGGAAGTTGCAAATCGTAACACGTCACCCTCTGAGCCGTGCATATCTGAGCCAACAACAGGAATAGTTGACCACTGTTTAATGGCCCAGCTTCCATTGTGTCTAAAGCTGCACAATACATCTTCAGGCAGATTCATATGTTCTACTATACGGTTGAGAAAGGTGTGAACAGCTACGGAGGTTTACTACTGAAAAAACCTACTCGGCGGCCTTAATTGTCTAGATGTTCCAGAAAAAAGCCCACGTCAAGTAAGCAGGTCGATCATACATCAGATTGTTTTGTTATTGCCCTCCAGAATACTTCCGTAGGAAAACTGGCTACTTCCGATAAATGCACTAGTGTTTGAGTGCCGAAAGTCGATAACATCAACGTTTTTAAATAATTTATTGAAAATCCTGTCAGAGATATTTTACGAGTTTTTTTCGGGTGCTACAAGCACTTTACTATAACATCTCAAGATTTCGGAAAAGGCAGGTCACATAATTTTAATTTGACTGTTGCGCGTGTAATTCCTGATAAACGCCATCACTTATAGATCGAGAAGAAGAAGCCGTTTCGATCACCGGAATCATAGTCTGAGCGTTCAAACTCTTCCGGAGTCCATCGTCAGAGATAAAACCGTCAACGAAAGCAAGCAACATTTAAAG